GTTTTTATAAAGAATACAGCATATGAAGATGACAAAGCAGTGAAAAATCCAAATTACAAAGATAGAGCAGGAAAACGCAGGGAGACCATTGGAAGTGAGGGGACATTTCAAAGGGATGATGCTCCAGCTTCAGTCCATGTGTAAGTCTATACAATCTTTTTCTGTGCTCTACTAAATGTATAGCAAACCTTTTGTGCACATTTATAGGTGGTAATAAAGTGAATTTATAATGGAAATCTGATATCATTTGGGCTGAAAGTACAGTGTGAGAAATCAGGTTACTGCATTGATTCCCAAATTCACATTAAGCCACCATTAATCCACACAAAAGACCATTAATTTAGCATTGGTCAAATGCATTTATCAACACAGTAATTTAAAGTCAAGGCAATAACCAGTTAAACTACATTAGTATCCACAGCAACCTGAGTTCTTTTGCCTTGTATCCAATTATAACATCCACACTTACTCAAATTCTTCACCTCCATCATATAGCCACTCCCAATGCATATACAGGCAGTCCCCGAGTTACGCAGATCCGCACTTACGAACAGGGCTCTCTCGCCCTGGAGCTCGCAGGCAGCAGGACCGCCCAGAGCACAGCAGTCCCACCACCTCGACCTCCGGGGCGAGAAAAAGCTGTTCCGGGTGCCCCTGGTCTGCTGGAGCAAAGCCGGGGGGGGAAGGGGTCCTGCGCCTCTGAGGCTTTGCTCTAGCAAAGCCTCAGAGGCGCAGGACTCCGCCGCTGCTGTGGCTTTGCTCCTGGTGTCCCTGCCCCCCCCCAGCAGACCAGGCTTTTGTTGTGGACCCTGGGGTAAAGCAGCTGGGGTGCTGCCGGGTTGGTCCTGCAGGGACCTACCTGGCAGCCCAGCTGTTCTGTCCCAGGCTCGAGATTCAGCCACTGTTGAAACTGATCAGTGGCTGATTCCAGGAAGCTGGGGGCAGAGCAATTCTGCCTCCAGCTTCCTGTAGTAAGCCCCTGGTCAGTTTCAGCAGCAGTGGCTGAATCTGGAGCCAGTTCCGACTTACATACAAATTCAACTTAAGAACAAACCTATAGTCCTTATCTTGTACGTAACCCGAGGACTGCCTGTATCCATGTAATCTAAATTGCATTTGATTTCACACACTAAGTTGACAAGTCATAATCTTATCGAGATTGAGTTTTACAGAAATACATGCATTTGTGGGGGACTGACTGTATGTTGCAGGGATGTTAAAAATTGGGTAATTGTGTAACTGATGAAAATCAGTTACCTGTGCTGTGGACTCTGCAATATAAAGCTTAGCTATGTTTATAACCGCAGAGCTGGCAGCAAAGCCTCCCTGGGGCTACAGTGGTGGATGAGGGTTTCAATAGTGGTCATAATGGAAGCAGAGTTTGGTGGTTTGGGTTGAAGAAACAAGAGGTTCGGGTTGTGTAGGGAGTGTAGTGATAATACAGGTATTAAGATGCCAGGAACTCAGCCTATACAATGAGGCAATCCATTTGGAGAACAAGAGTTACTGCTGATCATGAAAATATAGCTAGCCAAGATTGGAATAAATCCTTCACTTAAAATGGCAATTTTCACAGCGAACAGTGACTAAATTTATTTCCTAAGTGTATACTGAAAGTCACTATTTTTTAAAAACACATTTTGTCAGTGCCAACAAAAATTCAAAGTTTAACTTTTGCATTGTGTTTGGAGGCAGATATGAACGTGTTCAGCTGCTTATGCTTGCATTTCAGGTAACAACAAATGCAATTGCCAAGTTTTCAGGAGCAGCAGTTGTGTGTACATTTGAAAATTTTACTCCAAATATTAGGAATATAGAGTTAAAATTCAGTTTTGTCCCCCTCGTGTATTAGCTAACTTTAAAATTTGCTTTAAAGTGAAATCAGTGATTGCAACAAGGGTCATAAAATGCTAGAGAAGATGGGATGGAAGAAAGGAGAAGGGCTAGGCAAGGATGGTGGTGGAATGAAGAATCCGGTAAGTTTATATGACTTTTTGATTAAAAATAAATAAAAATGCTTTTGCATCAAACATGCTAGTTTCCTTGTAAATCAAAGATCTTATAGGATTTCAGAGTACTGGATGTATGGCATTTCAGCAGGGCAGTTATTCACTTTTAAATTATTAATCAAGTATTTTGAAAATATGTATTAGTGCTTACTGTGAAAACATTAGCAGTGTATAATAGGGATGTAAAATCCTGTTTAATTGGTTAACTGGTTAAACACTATGTCTAGTCACTATCTGTACTCCAGTTAAACGGGGGCAGACAGGGGAGTTGGCCTGAGCAACCCCTACCTGCTGTAGGAAGGAGGCAAGCCATGGAAAGGGGCTGCTCTAATCTCTACCCATTAACCACTGACATCCCTAACATATACACTGATTGTTAGGGAATTGAGATAGCATCTAGATAACTACTGATTAGTTATCTTAATGCTTCACAAAAAAACAGAGGAAGGCTGAAATTTTCCTTTTTGTTCCACCTTTCATAGGGGCATGCAAATATTTTAAAAAGCGCTTTGGGGGGGCTTCTCATTTGTATGGCTCCCAACTTATTTTTCTGTGGGTCAGTGGCCCTTGACTGAAAAAAGATTCCCTGCCCTTGTTGTACAGAATGTTGAAGCAATTTTAATATGGAATCCATAGTTAACACTTTTTTTTTTTCAATGTGTTTGACAGATCCAACTTCATATACACAAGACACACGCAGGCTTGGGTACAAGTAGACCCGCTTCAGTTGATGATGTTCAAGTCATCAAAAGCAAGAACAAAAAGAACTGGGATAAAGCACGAGAGAGGTTTGCTGAAAGCTTCCAGGAAGCTAAAACTAAGAAAGATGCTTCCAAAGTTATGCCTTGGGTTAAAGGAACTGCAGAATGAGAATACTCAATCCCAGAGTAGGATAATTCATGTGTATAAAGAGTTGGCAAGAGTTTTTATTTTTTGCTAAATTAGAATTTGGGTGAGAAGTAATGTACAGATGTGAAGAATCTCCTCAAAATTCAGAAATGTATACAAGAGTAATCTTATTTGGTTTACACTAGTGTTCATCCTTTTTAAAAATACACTTTTAAATGAGTAAGCAATGAATAAATCAGATTATCGGTTTTGTTTAGAGGGATGTTCAAATGGAAGTACTTGAATGTGAGGCTCATTAAGGGAAGGAATTTTCTTTAAGTATTTATTTTTAACAATACTCCACTGAAAACTATTTTGATTTGTTTAAGCTGTTCAAAACATGAAGATTTTTTTTTAATGTTCTAACAACCCACCCCCTCCCTCCCCAAAAACAATGCAAAATGTTGCCTTCTCCTGTCAAGAATGTTTGGTCTAAAATTGATGTGAAACTTAGCAAGAGGCACACCACAACTAAATGTATACAATTCAGTACTGAATCACATGCATCTCAGTTTACTCTTTATATAAAGTTAAATTGATATTTTTAACAAGCCCTGTCTACTTTTTGTATTCTAAATACTGTGCTCCATGAAATAAATGACCACTGTTGGTAAAGGAATAGTGTTCAGAGGACAGTTTGTAGTAAAGTCTTTCTTCTGTGAAGAATGTGTAGTAAATCTGTAACATACCATTTAGAGGGGCTATGTTCAGAAACCCACTATCTAGGAGTATTATTTATTAGCCTCTTGAGGCTAGCTGTTCTGATTCCCTCCCTCCCTCCTCCTCCTCCTCCCCCTCCCATGCTAGCTATGGATTTTATGCTGGGGGAGTTAAAGGGGGGAAATCAGACTTTCCATTCATAAGGTTTGCAAATCTGAAACTGAAAACTTGATATTTATTGAATGTTCTTAAACACAATAAATGAAATATTGTCAATTTAAATGGTGTGATTCTTGACATTAACTTAAGAGTGCAAATTAGGACACTTTCCTCATCTCTTCATTCAGGTTAAAATGTGCTGATATTGCTGTCACATTAAAGGAAACCACTGAGCAGACTTAATATCCATCTAGTTTACCAGAGCTAAATAGTCCAACAGCAAGGAGACTGCTGAGGCCAGAACTGCTGCCAGTTATTCATCTTAGCATTTCTTATTTTCATCAGAGTAAAGTGTATAAAGAATTAATGATGCTTTGATCACTGTTTAAAGCCTTTTGTTTCATAATCTGAAAAAGCAACTACTGAAAAATGCTTGCCAGAGGTAGTATTTTAAAGAGTTATTTCTAGAAATGTTTGGAATGGCTGCACCAACACTGTTCAATTCTGTACTGATATTTTTATTTCTTTAGACAGTTTAACATGAGTCTTTGTACACTATTATATAAATCTGTAGGTACATTGAAGATATCACTATTACCAATAGTTTAGTGCTAACATTTTTCTGTAAGACCATATTCCATAGCAACAAATTAAGTCATTTCTGAAGGTGTAGCTTGAGAAGTGTGACTTGTATTCCAAAGCATTCTGAAGCATTTGTTATAGTCAGGGCTCCAACAAACAATGTAATCTACTCACCTGTGGCAAGTAGATTACACCCCGGAAGAGCCAGCACAGAGCGATCTGCGCATGCGAGAGTGCAGAATAGCACGGCTGGCGAGTGGGGCTCCCTGCCGCTCGGCAAGCCCTGGTTATAGATTCTGGGGAATCTTAGTTCTCCAAGTAACAAATTAAAAAATGTTACTGGAGAAATGCAAGAAATGTTTGTAAAAGAAAAAGTTAGAGTTTGATCTTACATACATAAGGAAAGTACTTTGCTTGCAAAGAACTATGTATTTTTTTCAGATGCATATGCATTAAGAATCTAGTGAACCCACACCACCACGACAGGTACTGTATTTCACTGCTACTTCCAAATACTTTTATATTTCAGATTAGTAATTCAAGCACAGTCGTATAAACGAGACACATTCACTTCAAAGGCCCTCTGAAAATGTTTCCTTCAGTATCTGATTCTGCAGTTATCCTGTCAAAGCTGAGATGAACACAGCGCTTTGCCTTTTATCTGGCTGTTTCTGCTATCCTTAGCCCTTCTGGCATTTTCTTGAACTTTCTCTCATCCCTGCCTCCTGGGGATTAGGAGAATGATAGCTATGACATTTCACATATGCTAAGTCACAGGTATTTTTAGTGAAAGTCATTGACAGGTCAAGGGCAATAAACAAAAAGTCATGACCCCTAACCAATCCATCCATGACTTGTACTATATAGCCCTGACTATCTTAGAGACCCAAAAGGATGGCCCAGGGCCTCTGCTAGAGCTGGAGGGGCAGGCGAAAGCAGCAGGTGGAGCCACCTTGCAGTGTCGCTGCCTAAGAGCTGAGGGAGGAACATGTCACTACTTCCAGGGAGCCCTCCAAAGTAAGTGTTACGCAAGCCCCCTTTCCCACATGCAAAATCCTGCTGCTGCTGGGGAACTGGGGTACAGTTGCTTAAGACTGCCCCAGCAGCAGCCTGCCCCCCATCCCTACAATCCATGACCTCTGACAAACTTTCAGCCTTACTTATAGCTTAGTAAAAGGAAAGGGAATTATAGTGGGAGGAAAGGACAAATGAAGATACAATGCTACCTTCTTGACAAATCTCATTTAATACCAAGAACTGGTTACCACTGCAAAGACTAGTCACTTTTACTGTGAAATGACAGTGTAATTTAAGTATTCAGTTACAGTAGAAACATAGCAGTAGAAACATTCCTGTTCATCCAGAAATATAATTTATGCCATCATGTGCCAAAAGTGTCCGTCTGCTATACACATTGGACAAACATCTCAGACACTTCGCCAAAGAATCAATGCACACAGAAAGCTGTTGCCTGCCATTTCAGCCAGACTGATCATTCCCTTAATGACCTTAGAACATGCATATTGCTTCAAAGAGTAACTCCAGACTTCAACAAGAAGCTTCAGAATTGTCATTCATGCTTAAATTTCATAGAATAATAGGACTGGAAGGGACCTCAAGAGGTCATCGAGTCCAGCCCCCCGCCCTCAAGGCAGGACCAAGCTCCATCTACACCATCCCTGACAGATGTCTAACCAACCTGTTCTTAAATATCTCCAGAGAGTGAGATTCTACCACCTCCCTTGGCAATTTATTCCAATATTTGACCACCCTGACAGTTAGGAATTTTTTCCTAATGTCCAATCTAAACCTCCCCTGCTGCACTTTAAGCCCATTACTCCTTGTCCTGTCCTCAGTAACCAAGAGGAACAAATTTTCTCCTTCCTCCTTGTGACACCCTTTTAGATATTTGAAAACCGCTATCATGTCCCCCCTTAATCTTCTTTTTTCCAAACTAAACAAGCCCAGTTCATGAAGCCTGGCTTCATAGGTCATGTTCTCTAAACCTTTAATCATCCTTGTCGCTCTTCTCTGTCCCCTTTCATAGGTCATGTTCTCTAGGCCTTTAATCATTCTTGTCGCTCTTCTCTGTCCCCTTTCCAATTTCTCCACATCTTTCTTGAAATGTGGTGCCCAGAACTGGACACAGTACTCCAGCTGAGGCCTAACTAGTGCAGAGTAGAGCGGCAGAATGACTTCACGAGTTTTGCTTACAACACACCTGTTGATACAACCTAGAATCATATTTGCTTTTTTTGCAACAGCATCACACTGTTGACTCATTCAACTTGTGGTCCACTATGACCCCTAGATACCTTTCCGCCATGCTCCTTCCTAGACAGTCGCTTCCCCTCTTGACACTTTAGGTATGGGTTTAAACAGACTCTCACCCATTACAAAGATAGCTTCCCCAATTATCACCCCTATGTCATCACCTCACAGAAACTTACCTTTCCCCCTGACCTCCCACACTGTTCTAAAATTTGATTTGTCAATTTCACATGCGTTCATTTTGTTTTATTGTATCACTTTGGTATATATGGTTGTACCGATTTTCTTCCACATATTGATCTGAGTAAGTGGGTCTGGCCCACGAAAGCTAATAAACCATCTTGTTAGTCTTTAAAGTGCTACATAGTTCTGTCTTTGGTTTCAGCTATACCAGACTAACACAGCTGCATCTCTATCACTAGTAGAAACATTAGTTTTCCCTCTTAGATTCTTTCCAAAAAGTTAAACTAGATTTTAATTACAATTTTAACTTCTCAACTGCCAATATTTCAGATATTTAATAGCTGTCCCATAGTTTGCTTTGAATGTACAAGTCAAAAATCCTTGAATGTTCAAATTGGCTAAAAGCTATGTGAGTTAAACGAAAAAGCTTTCTTGCCACTCCCCTTTAGAGAGTTAGATATGTTTAGTGTTTTCATTTCTGTAACTGTCCATTTTTTCTATAATTATCAGTTAAGTACTAAATGAACTCACGCAGGAAAATGTGCTGTATGCAATCTAAGGATGTTAATGCTATTTATCTGGCTAATGATATTGTCGATACAAATTGTCTCAACTATACAATTAGTCGATAAGCACTTCTGCAGAACCAAAGCCCAGGTAGCTCCAGAGGCACCGACATGAGCCGGGACTGAGCAGTGTCGGCTCCAGAACCACCCACACTGTGGCTCTACATTTTAAATGTTGTAAGGGCCGCTGGGTTCTTACTATATTTACAATCCAGAGGCACAGCATCAGCACAAGTTGGGACTTCTTGGTGCCGTAGCAGGTACTGTTTGCGGTGGCCAGGGCTGGCTGCTGCAAACTGGCTGCTTGCCAGCAACAGCCCCTGTCTGTGGGGGGTCCCAGCTTCCCACTGGGACCCCTGCAGACAGGCTGTTTTGCAGCAGCTTCCCCCTTTTCTCCCCTCCGCCCCCATAAACAGCAAGGGGGGGAGCAGGCACCATCCCAGAGTCTCTGCTGGCTTAACCAGCTCCCCCCAATACCAGCTGCTGTCTCCTCTCCCCCGCCCTCCCTTCCCACTTGCTGCTTCATAGAGGCAGCAAAGTGAGGGGATGGAGGTGCAGAGAGCATAGGGGACTGCTTGAATCCCTGCTCACCCCATGTTCCCTGCATCACTTCTGCTTTTGAATGTACAAGAGCCCTGCAGAAGTGCCCGTAGTGAGAACTGGTGTGAGCAGGGACTGTCCCATTTGCACTGTTTCACGCTGTGCCTCTGCCTCCCCTGTCCCCCCCCCCCCGACAAACATGGGGGGGAACCAGCTTTACCAGTTCCCTCCAGCACCAGCTCCCCCCGCCACTTGCTGTCTCTCTCTCTCTGAGAGAAGCAGCTGGGGGGAGGGGGGAGCAACTAGTCGCTTACATTCCTTATGCAGTCTGTCCTCCAAAGGAAACCTACACAACCTCTTCAAAAGACAAACGTAGGAACTTAATCATAATTCTGCTAGACATTGAAAATCACAGATTAAAACCAGGGATGGGAAATATTTTTTTGTAGGGGGGGGCTACTTCACCAATGCTAGTAGTGGTCTTAGGCAAGCCCCACAAAGGGTGGGGCCTCAGGTGGAAGAGGCAGTTTCCCTCTAGGCCTCACCTGTGGGGGCAAGGGGAGGGAGGAAACTTCACATGCTTCCCTGTGGGGTGGGACACTCACCCACCCCGCTGCCCAACAACCACCGGCTGTTTTGAACAGCTAGCTGTTCCCTCTGGTACCATGTGCTCCTGGCAGGG